GCAGAAATATGACCCTGAAAAGCGCTGCATGCATACAGGCTCCAAACCTCGAAAAATACAGCCACCATTGAATCTTTGTAGTCCATATATGGCAAAGCACTAAGCCTGAGCACCGTTATTGTCTCTCAGATGCGACAGTAGTTTTATAAATGCGTACCTACCGCGGTTACCAGAACAGATATTGATTAATAAATACCTGAGTAATTTATTTTTCTCTCTAGAATAACTTGCAGCGGTGGCAGGCTCGGGCTCAAAAACTCTGCCAAATATAGTAATGTCCCGAACAGGCAATCAAGCGCTTACAGCCCTCCAGGTTATACCTTATCAAATTCTTGGCCAGTATCAGAGTCAGTCCTTTCTAGATAAGTAGTTGGAACGCCAGAGTTCCAAATTTTGAACTTTAAGGTATTTATTCAATCTAGTAAACGGTATAGGCGATCAGAAAGCCTGGTTTCACTCCCCTACCTCCGGAGCGCCACATAAATAATTGCAACGCTCGCCTCCCCTACAACATTTGATCCGCAGTGCAATTCAGACCCATCAGACTGCTTTTGGCCATGAGCAAAAAAGCCAAAGGTCCTCTGAAAATTTTACCGCCAAGAGGTCCTTCCGACATGGCTAAACCCGTATCGGGCCAACGACCTGTATCTCCGAATTCTTCCAAAGACAACGCTGCATCAGAGTCTGATGTCGACAAGGTTGTAAGCGCAACTGGAGATTTCCTGTCCCAGCCGCCATCTGCCCCTGTCTGGTCTATGCGTTCCTACTGGCCCACGTCGTTTAGACCCGGCACAAGCTCTGAGATCAAGGATAAGGAGATTTCGCAGCCAGCCAAACTTCTTTCAAACACTCTTCACAACTCAGACAATCACACTGATGCCATCTTGTTCAAACCTCATATTGCCGGCGAAGAGGTGCCGTCAAATGCTGTAGACACCTCCAAAGCCTCGAACATTATCGTCCCAGAGATAGCCCACGTCTTGCCGAAGTATTCTCTCTTGGGTAGTATGTATAGCTTTGTATCCGAGAAACTTCACACACCCACCAATGAACCCCACTTGTTTCATATGCCCAACCCTACGCTCAAGCCCATTAAGCGCGTCCTCATCATTGGGGTGCACGGCTTCTTCCCCAACAAGTTTTTGAGACCGATCATTGGCCATCCGACAGGCACATCGTTCAAATTTATCGACGAAGCCGAAAAAGCCATCGTGAACTATTTCCATTCGCATGAAGGCGTTGACATTGAGAATTTGGTGATACAGAAAATTGCGCTAGAAAAAGAGGGCAAGATTTTTGACCGCGTGGACTTTTTCTTCAACTTGATGTACAAGTGGCGCGACGATGTGCTCAAGGCTGATTTCATCTACATCGCGGCGCATTCACAGGGTGTCCCCGTTACTACTATTTTGTTGGGAAAACTCATCTCCCTGGGGTTCTTCGAAGGTAGCTCACCGAAACAGAAGATTGGCATCTTGGGGATGGCTGGGATCAACAATGGTCCCTTCTTTGGCATGGACCAGGCATTGTTTGTGAAGTTGTACAAGACATTGGAGAATGAGAGCTTGTTGGAGTTGTTTGAGTTCCAGAAGATGGGGACCTTGCAATCAGCCAAGTTATTGGAGAGCTTGAAGATTGTGATTAACTACAATGTGAAAATCTGCTATGTTGCCTCCTTAAACGATCCCTTGGTGCCTGTTTACAGTGCGCTTAACTTGGAGTACAACCATGCCAATATCTATCGCGGAATCTTTATCGACGAAAACCCATCCACCACCTCTCCGTTCTTGAAAAAGTTGCTCGAAATGAACCTCAACTTGCTCAACACAGGCCACAAAGACCACGGGTTGCTAAAAAATCTCTCCAAGTTCTTGCAGGGGCCTTTAACAGGGTCTGGGCACTCTACCCTCTACGGAGACTCCAACGTCTACCAGTCAAGCTTGCAGTTTATCCTCGAAACAACCACGGGGTCATCCAGCAAAGACAACAGCAAGAATAATGTCTTGGCAATCACCATGGCGTCTGGGCACGAGCAGTTTGAGGCAAGAAAGTTGTCACAGCAAGGCGGGAATCCGTATATCACACCATGGTGTTTACGGGGGATGCTCACCGAGTATGGTGAAACCTACGGAAATAAAGAAGGCACGCAAGGGGAGATGGATCTTGCAGAGTTAGTTGACGTGTTCGACACGTGGAAGCCGGAAGAAAAGAGTTTGAAACAGTTGAAATACTCGTTGAGCGGGTTAAAGGCTAAATTATAGGACTATAGGTAACTATGACGGATACATGCTCCTTTAAAAGTATCATAAACGTAGGGCTTGCAACCATGCATGTATGTTTTATGGAAATATGTCACAGGTCCTTCGTGTGCAGTTGAAACCCTGTTTTAATCAACAGAGACAGAAGCGCGTTCTGGGAATTAAACAGAATAGCAGAATAAATAGACTGACCGGGCGAGATTTGGAGTGGAACGCGCACGGCCTTGACGAAGCATTGCTTCGCTATTTCGCTTGGAACAGAGGGTCGCATAAATGCCCGGTAATCGCGCCTGTCTATGCAGGTTTCAACCAAACCTTAACAAAGAAAGGAGTTGGGGGGGGCCTTAAAATGACAAGCCTTGACGGTGGCATGGCCTCTATCATGAATAGCTCCATCGCCTTTTCCAGTTCTCAACCTACATGTCAACACCTTGTATGCGGCAACCCAGTCGCCAAATATACTAAAAGACATGCCTCAGTGTAGAGCAACGTTTGATAAAGGTTCCCTTACTAGCACGCAGACCAAGCATCTCCCGTGTAGATGGACCTATACAGGAAACGTCTGTTGCATAAACGCGACGCGTTTTCCACGTAGTGCAGCCAGATTTATAAGTGCGCATGCGTTGCACGTGATAAAAGAGCACGCGGTTTCTGCCCCTCCGCGTATAAGTTCACTCTAAAAATGGATAATTTTTCCATTGTAAATCCTTCTTGGTACAATTTTACTCAACCATAAGGTGAAGATAGAGAAAAAGTTTTGAAATTTCCCCCGAACTAGCCATTTTTACCAAGCTGTAGACCCCCAGGGGTAAATCAAAGTGGCTAGAAAAACGCGTTATGATTTTCGCGATCTAGCGGTGAGGACGGGTTTACCTTTGTGATAAAAATGCCCGAGCCTTGCATAATAACCGACATGTCCTCTAGCGCCTTGCATATGAATTTTGTATGGCGATGAAAGATTTCCCATGCACACTCTCCGTACCCTGTGGTCATCAGACATAATTACATAGGAGATCAGCCCCTGTGGAGGCAGGGGGGTGGAAATATACCTGTATGTGTCTGTTGACCTGTGCCCCTGGTTACTAGTGCTTAAAAGGATCCAGTTTAGGCTGATACCGGCGTTCATGGCTGGGCTGGGCTGTTTCCAGGGCCATTCCGTTCTGTTTTTGAAACCTGTCTAGTTTCCAGTATGTACCTTAAATCAAAGCTTGGATAACGTCGAGTTTTACGCCGTTTATATAAATCCATTCGCTTCCCACTTTCCTTCCCTGGAGTTTCAGACACCCCTCCGATCTCACACATATCCATTAAACGCACACACCATGGGTTTCTTTTCCCACAAGGATACGAGCTCCAAGAAGATCAAGAATGCCCTGAAGACGCAAAAGTCCATCAGCAATGACGATTTGACGTTGTTGGACGACGGGCCAGCCATCTCTCCAACCAGACCCCAACACAGCCTTGGAAACAACACCCAGCAATTTTCAAAGAACAGCGCCAGCAATCACCAGCTCCATCATTACTCCCACACGCGAAACGATGCCCTCGAGAACGAACGGGAACGCAACAAAATCTTAGAAAGCCAGTTGCTCCTTTTGAGCGAGAAGATCGCGTTGGCGTACGACAAGGTCGCGCGCACGGAAGAGGAGAACTTTAGCTTGAAGACAAGCAACGAGCAGTTGCTCTTTCTGTTAAACGACGCCATGAAGATGCAAATAACGTCCCAGCAGGGGATGGCGTCCGACGAGACTGCGGTGCGCCACAAGAGATACTCGTCGTTATACTCGTCCGGCTCCTCGAGATTAAGCTTGAACTCAGGCACCCCGTCCACCGTATCGTCGGCCCCACCACACTCGCAGCAAAAGCTCTGCGAAGCGCAGCAAGTTATTGAGAAGCAGGCAGCCTCTATCGCCACCCAGGAATCCCAGATCCGAGACTTGCTGAACGAAAAGGAGCAGCTTATCAACGATCTCCAGCTCGTTACCCACCAGCAAAAATTGGAAAAGATGGAACATCAGACGGTGACTGACCAGTTGAATGAGCAGTTGCAGCAGTATGCCGCCAGAGAACAGCAATTGGTCAAGAAGGTGGGCAGTTTCAGAAACAGCTTGTCGTTTTGTTTCCTCGGCAACAAGGCTTCTGGCCCTGCGGAAGCAATCATTGAGGAAGGGGCCGAGGCGGAATCAACCTTGGATTTCAGTCACGTTCAGCAAGAAACCATTAAACAAATAATTGGCGATATGAACAACCTTGACATTGATTTTCCAGAAACGCCCTTCTTGGGTGGGTACAACAGCGCTTACTCGTCCTGCGACGAGTTTGAAGCGGAGTATTGTAACGGTCAGAAACAGCGGGAATCCGCCCAGAGATTCAACACCTTGAACGTGATGGACTTAATTCCCTCTTCTAACTATCAGACTGGCACCGAAACCAAGTCTGGTTCCAATGCTAGACAGAGTTACTACTTCAGAAGTGAGTCCCCGGACGAAACCTTCAAATCTACGGAGGGATTGAACATCCAGAAGAAGATGAAGGCGTCTGACAGAATCGAGCTAGAGTTGCAAAACTTGAAAAAGTTCTACTACGACGCGTGAGCCTCTACATACGTCTCCTTCTGCATATTCATCCGATCGCCCCTGGCGCATCTGCTCTTATGATTTACGATAACTTAACCTTTTTGTTAGTATTAGAAATGTATGGCTTTTCTAATCTATGTAGCCCAGGTGTATCACTATCAGATAGAGATGCTAAGACTCAGTAGATGGTACGGCCGAGGCGAATCGGTTTATACTTTAAGCCACGAGCCCCCAGAGAGTTTTTCCTGTGAGTGAACTGGTGGGGAGCAGATCTATTAGATATTCTTTCCTGTTAGCGTGTATCGTTGTTATAGCTATGATCTCTTAAACTTTTGGTCAGTAAATTGCTTTTAATATCGCCATTGGAAAGAACAGGCTGATCATTTGTGTCATAGTGGTGACCTAGTGGGCATTAAGGCTAAGCTAGCATTGTCTCGTAGGCAAATAGGGAACTAGACATGTAGTAACATGCAATGATAAGTAAGCCAGAATTTAACATGATAGGTTGGAATAGCCTACGTCATTATTTTGTGGTGTCTTTTCTGTATCACAGAAATGAATTCCCTCCTCTCCGCTGTGGAGCTACTGGTACTGTTTTAACGAGATGTTCGTAGGCAAAGGTGAGGTTGTACCCAGATATGTGGGATATGCAAAATGTTGTAACACGTATCTAGCGATTCATAACGAAGGTTATTGGGGTAATTTCAGACTAGAGCAAAAGCGGCATAAACTAAGCCCTAGGAGTATTCATAGGTTCGGTTAGGGCAGTGACACTACAGATCAGATCGTAATGCTACTAATTTCAAATTGCCTATGTCCATTGGGCCTTTCAACGTATCCCATTGTTTCGTCACTATATTGCCTAGGCAGCATATCTATAATATATATCAAGGTTAGAAAATCCTGTGCAAAACCACGGGGAAATCTGGATTCTTTCCCAAAAAAATACTCGTGAGCACACTGTACAACGCGTACAACGCGACGCAGCACAAAATGGTGACCGCGTTCTTGGTCTTGAGCTGTATCTGGTCCGATGGCGCCTTCTGGATGGCGATCAAAGTCACAAAAAGAGCCGCTAGCCCTAAGTAGATCGCGCCGATGATGAAGATCTCGCTACCAAACTGGTACGAGTATCCGCCGCTGATGTACATGATTTCCTCGTGCTCGTTACGGGCAAGCAACGGAACCAGTTTGATCTTGGCAAAGCTGAAGCCGGTGACAAAAAGCACAGTTAACAAGATGCAGGCGGTGCAGTACACAAACGAGCCCCCCAACTTGTCCTTGAGCTTCGCTGCACGTTTCTTAAGGAAGAGAATAACCGCAAACGAGATGGCAAAGGTTTTAACAAACTTTTGGGTGTCAAACGGCACGTGCACCAAGATACTCGTGGACAAAAGTTTGGAGAGGAAGTCAGCAAAGTGCAACGCAGTCGGATCTTCCGGAATCTTATACCCGAAGTGTTCATCCTGAGGCTTTGTCGCGACGTCATCGGTAGGGCCGTAGATCCAGCAGTGCGGTACCGTCTTCATGTTCATCATGTTGAAGGTCTGCTCATTGACGCTGAAGTCTAGGATGACGAAGAACAACTCTTCCGAGTCCGGTCTCTCCAAGTTCCAGGAAGCAGCTACAGTGCGGAAGCTGGGGTCAAAACTGCCGCATAAACTGCACCCAAATTGCGGATGCACAGCTGTGTATACGGTGGCTAGGTAGTAGTCCTTTCTGGCGCCGTAGAAGAGCTGTTTGAACAAGTGGTCGTCAGCGTGGATGATCCCGTCTGGCGATGCTAGCGCAAGCTGCTTCAACTGCTCCTTCATCAAACCGGCGGTCGCAAGCTGGCAGAGCACAAAGAGTGCAAAAATGTAGCCCAAGCAGGAAAAGTGTTTCATTTGGGGGTGGAATGAAAGGGAAGAATGACGAGGACACCAGACGTTAAATGTAAATAGCCGATGGTTTTCAGGGTATAGGTCACGTGCGTGAGGCGTAAAGATTTAGGTCAGTCCGCGCGTATGTTAAAAGGCAGACACACTATGGAAATCAAGGGCAAAATTTAGTAACGTCACCCTCATTTAAAAAGAAGCCATTGGTTAGTTATGGACCAATTTCAATCTGGCTTTAATTACTTAAATGCTGTTGCCTTCTCTTTTTGTGAGTGACTTCTCCCCAGAGATGTCTGTTTAACTACCCTTTGTGTAGTAAAGATGTCATTAAACTAGACGAGAGTCGGCATTCATTATTTTCTCACCTCCAGTAAGCGGACACCATGGCATTGTATCCGCCTCAGTATATACCACCGACTAACCTTCTCTTGTGTATATCTTACAAGTGAAAAGTATTCTCTTTTAGCTATCTAACAGTATCCATTATTACCTACTAGATATACCACGATTCGCGTATGTTTCCATAGTCGTATTGTAGCCACCTACTCCTTTGTTATTCATCACGACCTAGTTTATCTAATACACCAAGTTGTTCTTTATATAATGTATTAAAATATGCAGATGCTAACCCAAACCCAATTTTTTTTCTCTTTAAATCACCTCGGTGCTGTCCTCCTCTTCGTCATTGTTGATGATAAGGAACGAGACGCAAATGATGACAGCACCAAAGATATAGATGAAACTTGTATGGATCTTCTTGAACCAGATATCGCCAATCATCGCAATTGGGATAGTGGTAGACAACCCCACTGTGACGGTCAACGGAGACGTCAACAACATGGCTTTAGCCCAGCAGAAGTCGCTCACGAACGTGATGAACCCGTTGATGAGGAGAATCTTCCACACATGCCACGTGTTAGGGAGCTCGAAGGTCTCGACGCCGGTGAGATGGAACACAATAAGGGTCGGCCAGAGAAGAACCAAGTTGAAGATCCCCACAAAGCCAAAGAAAACCTTCATGTTCATGTTGGACTCGTCCTTGACCTTGAATTTGAGCAAAATGGTGTACACTCCGTAAAGCAATGCGCCGCCCAATGCTAGAATGTTTCCCAAAACAACAACCATGGTGGTCTTCTTCTCCGCCAGGCTGCTGGCCTCAGGATCGTAGTATGTCACAATCAACACCCCGGTGAAAGACAACACCAAGCCGGCGATTTTCTTGGTCAGGATCTTCTCCACGTGCGCAAGGTAGCCGATGAGAAGCGTGAAAAAAGACGAAGTTGACGAGAGAATGGTCTGCGACGCGACGGAGGTATATGATAACGACGCGTTGGTGACTAGGTTGGCTAGGTACCACAACATGCAGAACTGAGCGCTCAATTTGATCGTCTCCAACAACAGGATGCGGTCGGTCGGTTTCGGTGAGACCGCCAGCGAAACCACAAAGTCGTTGTCGTCAGAGCCGTAGTCAGACGTCTGGTCGCTCAAAAGCGCGCTGGAGTAGCGTCTCTCCTCTTGTAACTTCCTCCAGAACACGCTGAGATTGAAACGGTGCACAATGGCAAACGGCAACAAGTAGAATACAAATAATGCGGTGTTCACATAGGTGATGAAAAACGGCTTGCGGTAGACGTTGGTCTCGAAGAGCTCGCTGATGAAGAAGGACGAAAGCACCCACGATAGCACCACTACTGCAAGGTTCGCTAGCCCGAAGAGCCACTTCTGTCTGGGGGACAAGTCTTCAATGCGTATCATCTTGGGGAAGAACATTTTCGGGGACATGAGACTTGGATAAGGATGGATGTCAAACTGTGGATAAATGAATGTCAAACTGTGGGTAACTGAATATCGAAAACTGTGGAACGCTTGACAAGTGACGGTACGAATAGATAGAATGGTTAAAAGGAAATAAAATGAATGTAGTGAAAGCTCAAGTAGAATGGGAGTTTAAAGAGTATTCTATAAAAGTGACTTCTATGGGAGAATGGGGTACTTTCGTTCCTATGACTACGTCAGCCTTGTGTGTGGAAAGTATGTAGAAATTCCAGTCGTGTAAAGAAACGTTATCACTCGTGACCACAACAAATTTTTCTTACGCAACATTTTGCGCGCCATGCAGGTAAAAATCTATATCGCGTGATCGCCCGTACGCACACATGCGTTGAGCGAACAGGCTACTGGGGATAATTTATGAATGTAATAGAATCATTGAACTTAGACTTTACCTAAGGAGAATTCTGGACTCTTTGGGGGGGCGAAGAGGGCACCTAGGGAATTCGTTGTGTAGACGTACTGGTGGATCGTGTATTACCTAAAAAAAAGAAATTTTGACGATAGATCTGACTCGGGACTGCCGTGTAAAATCCTGCAATTACAGAGGGTACACAGCGACATATCAATTTCGTATACGGGTAAACTGCCCCTTTGTTTGTCTCGATAAGGCTCTCCTGAAGTTCAGATAGAAGTGTACACTGTTAGTGCATGACTCACAGCGTGGATTCAAAGTTCCAGGCCAGTATTCCAAAAGTCGAAGGCGAGTTGCCGCACCCTCGGGTGGCAAAAGGCTGCAGGGTGTATAGATAAGCTTCTCCACTTAGAGTTTAGTCCACTCGCCTAGTTTCTACAAACCCACTAGTCAATCTCAAATGCTGGCTGATGATAGTGACAAGACAGGCGACGTAGACTGGGTGATGGAGACTGATTGAGTACACCAGGCACTTTGAATTTGGAGCTTGAAAGGTTATTTTTACAGTATTCGGGAAAAACGGTCAATTGCTGAGCACTCCCAAAGGATTCTGAGCTACATCCAAATACACGTGGTGTATAACATGTCCTGCCTATGATACGCAGTGTGGCTTGGAATTTCATAAACATGACACAAAGAACTCAAGGAGATATACGCCACATAGCAGCGTATATATCTATAACTTATTGAATCTAAGCTTTTTTTTATAGCATTGAGCCGTATTCGAATAGTATCGAGCTGAGTATCTAGGCCTATCTCATTGGCATACACGTCTCGAATACACTTCTGGCTATAGGTTAATTCCGCCTATACGAACCTACATTGGTTGTCACTACATAATATAACGAAAATAATAAATTGTACGAAGAAACCGAGGTGAGAGCCCAAGAAATAAATAGAACAAGGAAGGCCCTATCCAAAAAAAGTCAAAAATGCATGAAAGTGTATGTTTACTCGACAGTAACAGACTTGGCCAAGTTACGCGGGAAATCAACGTCAATATCTCTACCGACAGCCAACCAGTAACTGATCAACTGCACCGGGATGACGTTCAACAACCCTTGCAAACAGTCCACGGTCAAAGGAACCTGCAAGTTGGCCAAGGCATTGTCCCAGACAGAGTCTCCCTCGTTGGAGATGATAATCGGTCTCCCATCTCTGGCGGTGACCTGGGAAATGGCAGACATGGTCTTAGGGAAAAGAGAGTCTCTGGTGGCAAAGGCAATGATTGGCAAGTGCTCGTCGACCAAAGCCAACACACCGTGCTTCAACTCACCGGCCAACACACCCTCGGAGTGCATGTAGGATATCTCCTTAATCTTCAAGGCACCTTCCAAGGCAGTGGCATGCTGGTAGCCTCTGCCCAACAACAACAAGGACTTCTGGTCCTTCAAGACGGTTTCACACAACTCCTTGATTGGCGCGTCCAACTCTAAGACCGTCTTGATCTGTTCTGGGATCTTCTGCAAGCCCGCAACAATCTCCCTGTGGCGGTCGGTCTGGGAGATACTGTCGTTGGACAAAGAAAGTGCCACCATAACCAAGGCAATATATTGGGAGGTGTAGGCCTTGGTAGACGCCACCCCGATTTCTGGGCCCGCGTTGATGTGAACACCGCAGTGGGTCAGTCGGGAGATGGAAGAGCCCACGGCGTTGACAATCCCGAGGGTTATGGCGCCACGCTCAATACAGTAGTTCAAAGCCAACATGGAGTCAGCAGTCTCACCGGACTGGGAAACAAACACACAGCAATCGTCTCTGAAGACTGGTGGTCTTCTGTCCAAAAAGTCAGAGGCCAACTCGACGGCCACTGGAATCTCGGTCAACTCCTCAAAGATGGATCTGGTGGCCAAACAGGAGTGGTAGGATGTCCCGCACGCGATCATGATGATGCGTCTGGAGCGTCTAAGGGTCGGCAACCACGACTTGACCCCACCCAAGGTAATCTGGGAGTTCTCAAAGTCGATTCTGCCTCTCATGGTGTTGAAGGTGGACTCTGGCTGTTCGAATATCTCCTTCTGCATGAAGTGCGAGTACGGACCCTTCATGATCTGGGCCAACTCAAGTTCCAAGGTCTGAATGGATCTGGTGGCGGAGGCGCCGGACTCTCTCTTGGCTCTGTGGATGTGGATCTCACCGTCGTAGATGTGCGCAATATCATCGTCCTCCAAGAACATCACCTTCTTGGTGTGCTGGATAACGGACGATGGGTCAGAGGACAAGAAGAACTCCACTGGCATTGGCGCGCCATCCTCGGAAAGGAACGCTCTCGACTGGGACTGTCTCAAGCCAGAGTCGCCCTGAGCCACTGGAAGAAGGCCCAAACGCTTGTTTTGAAGGGTCTTGGCGGAAACCTGCTCATCCGTAGTTGGGAACTCGACGTCCACAAAATCCACCTTCAACGCCTTTTCAGACTTGACACCGATCAACAATGGAGAACCCTTTCTGGTAGCACACACCTCGTTGGGGTAGAACACCGACTTGACCAACAAGCCGTAGGAACCCTCCAACTCAAACAAAACCTGCTTGGTCAATTCGTTCAAGTCTGGGTCGTGGCCATTCGCCAAGTTGGTGTCGTACACGTGCTTAAACAACTTGGCAATGCACTCGGTATCGGTCTCAGAGTCGAAAACGAAGCCCTTGCCCTCCAACAAGATCTTGATGGCCTTGTAGTTGGTGATGATACCATTGTGGACGACAACGAACTCGTTCTGCGGGCCGGAAGATTGTGGGTGGCAATTCACGGTCGCTGGTTGTCCGTGGGTGGCCCACCTGGTGTGGGCAATACCAACGTGGTTGGTAAACAAGGTGGAGCGTTCTGGGGCGCACTGGTCGATCTCAGCCTTCAACGAGGCAACTTTACCGACGGCACGGAAGATGTCAACCTCACTTTCGACGTCGCCGTCAATGGCCAAACCGGCAGAGTCATAGCCTCTATATTCTAATCTGGAGAGACCCTCGATAAGGTTATCGATGATCTCGCCTCTTTGCTTTTCAACCAAGTAGTTGACGTAACCGAAAATACCACTGGGAGGTGTTAGTACGTGTCGCTCTGAAATGGCATTGGCTGTACTTACCACATTATTAAGTCAGAATTTGGGTATGAAGATGGGGAAGCGAAAGAAGAAAAAGAGGGGCGGCTCTGATCTATATATAGTAAAACCGCGTCGATCTGACCGAACAGAACCGTCTCCGATCGCGTAGGGTAACTGCCTCTGTGTCTGAAATTTATTTATTTTTCCAGTCTGTACCACGTATGCATAGTTCTATTTTAAGCAACAGAGGGGCTGTACTTCACACTTGTGATTGTTTTCACGCTTCTATTGAGCCTCTGTAAGTCTTTGGGTTATTAGTGGTCATACCATACTACCAGGTAGAGAAGATTGTTTTCTGAAGGTGGATTTTAGTGGATGTTTCTCATTTCTGGCTGCCTTCTTCATTTTTTCGATTCGGTAACCGAAAGATAGAAATCCTTCTCTTGCTATTATTGCCTATTTCGGGTCTAAATTGTCCTCATGTGTGCATCACGTGTGTGTTTATCTTATTCCAAGATAGGATATAATTATCCCTGTGTTATTCACGTGACTTAGTGACATGTAGCTCTTAGTCAGATTGCCTGCATGTAACGTCTGGAAACGTTTGTACGTTGTGCCAGCTGGAGATATACTGATTAATTACAACGCAGAGATAGGAATACGTACGGGACAGTATTAATATCGGATGATAGAAAGTGTAGAGCTCTCTCTATTACAGACTGATATTTCTGCGTACAGCCATCGAAGCTATATTTTTTCTGTAGTTTATTAGTTCAGGCGCACCATAAGCGGTGGGCTGCGTTGTTTTTCATGCACAGGACCGCAGGCACTGTTCGACGTTGAAATTGTGGATAGTTTGCCAAGTCGTAGATCTCAAAATTCAGGGTCACACAAGGTGGGTGTATTCCGCTGATCCTGGATCTGTGTCATTTCTGTTTTGGCATAAGAATTAGGCTGGTTTTCCGCGTCTGAAGCACTGTCTGCCAAGTCAGCTACGGCAAGCGCGAAAATCGGCCAACCTACGTTAACTGGACATGTCTTTAAACGGCTTAGAGTCCTATATGTTATCTTTAGTTTCCTCGGTCTTAGTCTCTTGATGAATTTTTCATTGCCCTTCAAGCAAAAAAGTATTCAATGGACGAGTCAGGAGTCGAACCCGAGACCTTTCACATGCTAAGCGAACGCGCTACCAACTACGCCACACGCCCTTGATTATGGTTGAATGTCAGGGTTCCAGCGCCTGTTGGTATTCCGGTCGGGGGGTTGTAATCAGTCATTGATTCACAAGTTACTTATCGTGATCTTCCACAAAAATAAAGATAATATTAAAACCAAGATCATTCTTAGATCTGGAAAACTACTTCCTTATATAGCTTTCTTCGGTGCCTCATTTGCTTTATGCTACAGGATTAGTTTCAGATACTCATTATCAAACAATCCTAGTAGCCTCAACTGGAACCTCATAAGGTTCCTGAAACAACTCTCTAACTCTGACATTGAAAATAATAGTCGTTGGATAAATAGAGAAAATATAACTATTCCTCTGGCTGGGAACGCTCCATTTAATGAGCCATCCAATTTCTCCTAAAAGTTCTGAGCTCATTACCATTATTCCAAGCAGTTTACCAAAATCATTCCGAGATCTCCCACACATACATAGCTTCGAATCAGAGACACGTTAAAGACCCAAAAAGCACAAGGTCCCACTGCTATGCTCCCTCTCCAGTGTGGCAGAAGACCATTTTTTTTGTGCAAATCAGAAGCACTGACAAACCGCGGTACAACTTCATCCTTCCTTCTACGATCCCATCTTACTAACCACTATATTATTTATGGTCCAAGTCGTATATATACATGATTGGATAGAGCTCATCCATCGGCAGTCACAGCCTAAGCTCTTGGCTTGGCAGCTTCGGCCTCCTCGATAACCTTGGCCTTGATCATGGCCTCGACACCAGCTCTGTACTCGGCTTTCTTGGCGGCCTTCCAAGCGTCCTTGTCCTTGCGATTGGCAACCTTCTTGTGGAAGGCATTCACCTCCTTGAGGTGCTTTCTGGCTCTGGCATCCCTGCCTTCCTCGTGCGCCTGATCCATGTGTACAAACTGCTCCAACTTCTTCTTAATGGTACGGTTCTTCTCCTGTTGGTTGTTAGACTCCTTAACAAGCACTCTGTCACCGATCAACTTGAACTCCTGCATGTATTTCTTGTCCATGTTGAATTCCATATGCACAACCTGATCGTTTAAGCCCAATTTGTTGATAGCCCAGTAGTATCTCTCTGGGTTGTCCGTCTTCAAGTATCTCAAGATAGTCTGTCTGGCCTGCACCAACATTCTCAATCTGCGGAGGGTGTACTTGTCCTTATGCGCATGCTGGATGTGACTAACCATGTACTGGATCTTGATGGTCATGATGGCCGCTTGGACCTCTGGGGAACCAGTGTCTCCGTCGAATCTCTGGAACTCGGCTCTGGCCAACTGAATGGCCAATTTCTTCTGGTCAGCCGCATTGGCATTTTGCATGTGTAAGATTCTGAGGATCGACTCTCTCTTATTAGCCTCCTTCGCGAAGATTTCTGGCGCCAACCCGTCGTCGGTCTTGTCTAATTTCGCCTTCGCAGCGCCAAACAACAACTTTTCCACGTTGGAGATCTCGAACCCCTTTGACAAAACGTGCTCTTCTTGCAACTCGGCCTTGATTCTGTTGGTAAATTCATTGTTTGGGGTCCCGAGGATCGGGTCGATGGTCTTCTTGCTGTGTTCGTCCAATGCCAACTGTCTCAACTTGTTCAATTGAGCTTTCCTAAACGACTTGGTTGCCTTCTGCGCCTTGGTCATCACCGGCGGGATGAAGGTACGCTTGAACGTAAGCTGAAGTGGCATCGCCACTGTGTTCATCGAGGCTCTCAACATGGGGTGATGGCTGTGATGGGTTGTAAAAGCTAGGGCTAGATCACCTTAGAACTGTAGAAATATTGATGTACGCTGAGAAGAAAACGAAAAATTCCAGGCCGGGTAATCTCACGTAATTGGGGAAAAAACAGTTCGCGGAAATAATTTTCGGAGATAGTTTCGCGTAATAGTCTTCCGTGACTTGAAAGCCTGCCTCCCTGCCTCCCTGCACCGCGACTCAAGCAATGACCCCTCAGTGTGCTTATCCGATGCACTAAATGGCACACATAAATATTTAGCCTTTATCGGAAAAACGGAGGCCCCCCCCCCCTCTGCTCTGTGCGGAGCTCCCGCGGTATAATATTGCCTACCACTTATCTCAACTCCCAATAGAGCTTCTTAGCCGTAATTTGCAACCGCTAACGTACAGTGAACGACCGTGATGCCCAATGCTCCCTTGCCGACACTTTTCCGTTATTCCGGGGATAATGCACAGCGGAGTAAATCGTGGACATGTAAGCTTAGTCAGCAGTCAATCATTAATGCCACTATTCCCTTTATCCCGTCGCCAACCGCTAATCCCCCCAATATCAATGGCCTTTTTTTCAACCTCTATTTGTAATCGATGGCAGCTCACGCCGATACGGAGTAAGGGCCTGCGTGCGTATAAATATGCAAGCCTCCCAGGGTAGTATACGTTCCCCCAAAGTGTAAACTACGTAACACACTAAAATGGTCTCTGAATTACTGGTCGAAGAGAAGATTAAACGACAACTTGTGCTCTTCGCCTCCACTGGCTCCACCTTTCGTGGTGTCAAGAGCGAAAGTGCCTTGGCTGCCATCGTTAGCTTTAACCACTTCCTGAAGACTTCCACCATCGAGAACTTGGTTGCAACGCCCGGGCGCAACGACTCCTTGACCACCGTTTTGAACGGCTTGAGGCCATCCTCCAATCTCCCAAACTACGGCAAGATCTATCTTGATACCCCACAGGCCAAGGCGGTGTGGATTGTGGAGGCCGACAACAGGACGGCCGAAGATCCAATCGTGTTCTATTTGCACGGCGGTGGTTTCGTCATGAGCACTGGTCCCACCCAGGTCCAGGGAATTTTGAACATCTACGAGGCTGCCAAGAACCCTAGGTTATCAGTGTTGGCCGTAGAATATTCTCTTTCCCCTGAGGCTACATATCCAATCGCCATTTCCCAGTCCGCTTACGTCTACAACAAGATTGTGGTTGAAGAAGGGAACAAAAATGTCATTCTCTTGGGCGACTCCGCTGGTGGTAACTTGTCTATTGTTTTATTAAAGCACATTGCCACCCCTATTGCTGCCATTGAACCTAAGCTTCCGGCCTCTTCCAAGCCAAAGGCTGCTATCTTGTCCTCCCCGTGGTTGGAACTCTCCCCAGAGCGTGCCGGCTCCTACGTGGAGAACGACCAAAAAGACGCTCTCACCGTTGATATCTTGCAGAAGTTTGGTGTCGCCTACCAACCAGATGAGCAATTGAGAAAGACCCTTCCCGTGAGTCCGGTGTACTCCAAACCAGAGGATTGGGAAGGTGTCATGCCAGAAAAAACCCTCATCATTGGGGGCCAGGACGAAGTCATGGTGGACGACATTCACAAGTGGGTTAACATTGCCGGTCAACAGGTTAACTTGCTTATCGAGCCCCTCGGAGCCCACGATACTTTTGGCCTCGACTTTGAAGACCCAGCTACGTACAACGAGAGATTTAGCTCAGTAAAGATTGTGAGCTTCTTGTCAAAGCTTTAGGGCACCTTCGGTACCACTTTACTGGACATAGAGTATCTAGCAACAGAATTTTATTTTATTACTTGTCTTGTAAGTCACACATCTTTCTCTTCGGTAACTCTCTCCCTGGTCATTTGGTACACAATCTGCCCAAACTCCTCCAACCCATCCATGGTGGTCACCTTGCAGCTCTTACCGCGTTTCTTTCTCGAGTTGCATGTTTCACCCAATACCAACCCCAACCGATGTTTTGGTCCGAAGCTCTTGAAAATCGACATCAAGTTCAGCTCTTGGTTTAAGGCACTGCGAAGCTGCGTGCTTCCTAGCACGTATAAGCCAGTCCTTGCCCTACCGATCCCAGTGAGTACCGATCGGAAATATTCCTCCTCATTAACCATAGCCTTGGTTCTCACGAGCGACAAGATCACAAAATCGTTATCCAGGTCTTGGTATCCCTTAACCGTTTTCACAGTAGGCCAGTCAAACTCAAAATCTGAGGTTGCCTCCGTCTGGATCACTCGCTTCCCACATCTCCGAGCTAAAATCTCCTCAATAATAAGCACTTGGCCAACGTACGGGGTCAAGATTGTAATCTTTTCCGCCGGATATCCAATCAAGCGCATGTACTGATACATCGCGACCGCATATTCAGCTTCTCCAATATTCTGATAAAATTCTGGCTGAGGCTCCGACTCGCCCTGTCCGTTGAATTCGCCCACATCGATAAATTGGGACACTGAAGCGAAGCCAGGGTTGGTCGCGGAGACTTCCTTCCTTGCCTGAAACCCTCCGTAAACCTCAGCGTATGAGTCGGAGATTTGAGAACGCGCGCGGAGCTGGTGAGTAAATTTGAGGCTGACGACACCATTGCGGATGAACCTGGACATTAAAGATTGGTCCAAATGGCCAGTAGTCTTTACAACTGAGCTGTAGAAGGAGGGTCTCTGTGATACCGTGTCACCGAGCAAAACAATACTCTGTAAGGCATCCGGGTTCTTGTTGAGGGAGAGAACGAAGTAATGTTCAAGCTCTGACATCTGAGTGGATTCATCAATGATGATACTGTTAAAATTTGAGGTAGACCCCCTCAAGAGACCTTGGTTCTGAAGGAACATATCCATGGAAACACCAACCACCCGGGCTTGATTCGTCATATACTCAACCCTGCCCTCACGGGAAGTCAAGGTTTGGAAAACGCCACCGTTGGCCACAGAGTCAAAGAGATCGTTGAGTTTTCTGTAGCATTCAACAACGATTCTGAGCGACAGGGCGTACCCCTTTTTGGTAGCCAAATACTCAGGAAAAAAAGACTTGAACGGAAACTCTTCAAAAACCACCGAGGGGGATTTCTCTCTTTCCTTGAGCTGAGCCAAGAACCGCTGCCACGCAGGTTTGACATGTGTATCGTAGAAATAACCCGCGGATTCGCAAGAATTACCGTGAGCACCATCCACTTGTAGCGACTCTGCGAGTCTCTGAACTTCTGCAAGCAACCTGTGAACCGAATTGGCAACGTACTCCACAGAACCAAACTTCCCAGCCGCGGAAAGGCCGTCGTCAATCTTCAATACGAAGCGTCCATCCATACCCAGTGCCTCTAAGTCAAAGAAAATACGGTTAAGCGTCCTCTGCGACTTTGTCACAATCAACGTCGCGTGGTTCTGGTTGTTCAAAAATGATGTGTAGACGATAGGAGCAACAGTAGATGTTTTTCCAGTGCCTGGGCCCCCTTCAATCAAGGTAAGGCCCTTAGTGGAGCCTGCAACAATGGCCTTCCGCTGCGCGTTGTAACGCATAACGGTAGGCGGCTTCTTCTCTAAAACACTTTCAACATACGACTGAACTCCCACCGTCTTTTCTTCGTGTGACACTTTAAGCACATATGGCGGGGAAATGATATCACGAGGCATTGACCCTGTTTTCTGTCTCTTAGAGGGTAATTCACTGTCTAACACAAGCGCATAGTCTTGGAATGATTCCTCCACATCCTTCATCGACGCAAATGTAGAGTGGTACTTGACCCACCTTGCTGCTCCCGGAGACGGCATTCTGTTGGAAAAGCCCAAAAAGAGACTGCTGAACCAATCGCACAACCCGCTGGTGTCCTCGCCGGTTTGAATAGCCATCAACTCCGCAATAATCTTGGAATCCTCCTCGGAGTCCGACCGGAAAACGTAGTTGATATCCTTGTATGCGCCTCTGTCTGCAGAAAATTGCACGGGGTCAATGTCAATGTTCAAAACCTTCACGTTCTGTTGTTTCTGGTGGGCAACGCTCTTGATCGTGGCTGCGCGGAATGTCTTCAACCCAAGCCGCAAGTTGCGTTCCGCATACTGTGACTCTATTGGTCTATCCAACGCAAGCAAGTATATCATCTCACCCGTTTTCATTTCCCACCTTGACTTGGTTTTAGTAAAGTCAACTGTGAGTTCGGCAAAAATGTTTTCTGGGACGGTCGGGCTCTTACCCAGTAGCTTTGGTAACGTTTCGTTCTTGAGAGTAAGATTGGTGACGCGCGCAATTCGCTTTGACTGGCCCTTGAAATTCCCCAGTGCGTCCATGGTCTTCAACTGCAACCGACTAAGCGTCTTGGAGAGGGTCTCAGACATACGGTACCGAGATTCAATGGAGAGGAGGCGCATGTTGCGGTACAAAAAATCAGACGTGGAAAGGTATTGTGTTGCTAACAGAGGTACCGGTGTGACTCCTTTGGCAAGCTCGGAGGTGGAATACAACTCGAAAACGCTTGTCTCTGAGGGATAGATGGGGTAGGCTTGTAGTTCTGAGGCCACATCCACCACCAGGGAATAGTGCTGGGCAATTGATTCTAGTATGACCCCTTTGTTTTCGGTAAACCTTTCGTGGATTATAATCTCCGATAAGGCACATATCTTCTTCAAATCAACAAGAGAGACCGCACCGAGGTTTTCTTTGAGGTACAGGGGGGTCAAGTCCGATGGTTGGCACAACACTAACGTTTGCAACTCAGGAAAATGCTCGTACACCATTTTCTGAAAGGCGTGGAGCTTCTGTGTGTACTCCTCCTTCAAGGCATCTGTATTTCGGGACTCGCCGCTAAAATCGTCGACGGGAAAGTACATGGTGTGTTCCAAGTCTGCCAAGAGCTGGATAAATACAGAATCCGTCTGGTCGCTGGCTTTCAAAAGCGCAAGATAGTTCATCTCCTTGACGAGCGTGTTGGTAAACTGTCTGGTAGGAAGCTGTGACAAGACGGCAGTGAGAAACATAAGCAAATGAGACGAGTAGGGCTCAGACTCAACCATGGACTCGCTCAAGACATTGTACAACCACGAATGCTTAATCATCATCTCAGACTTTTTTTCCGGATCAGCTTGGTTGAGCTGGGCCAACAGCCCTTCGTACTGTTCCTCAAGGCCGTACCTGGCGACCAAGCTGGGCGCGTGGGGCAAGTTTCCCCAGATAGAGATGCTGAAGAGAGGAGCAATCTGCCTCCTGATCAGCATGCTATCAATATTGTTGAGCAACGTATGCATTGTAGTAATTAGATGAGTCTTTTGGAGCACCGACAACTGCTGGTTAAACAAGATCAACAGCCGGAGCACAAACTCCTGTAGCTTGTCGGGCTCGGCCACTAGCCGGCTCGGCAACCGGCCCAGGATAGCAATGAGAGCTGAAATCGACTGGATATGAGTATTGGTGGCGTCTCTGTGAAAAAACCTCCATAGGTAGTTGTCTAAGTAGCGGGCGCTGCTCAAGAGCTGAATGGCGTCGGGGTCGGGCGCTGTAATCCGTTCGTAGATATCACTAACAAGCTTGCTATCCACAGCCGTGGCCTTGGAGCTCTGATTCCACAATTTGGCCTTACTACTAATATCAATCATGTCGTCTGGGTTCACAACGTTCTTTCTTCTCAACTTGCAATCAATTAAATAAACCCAGCGGCTCTTCTATCCTGCATGCACACATATCTCTCAAGCTGTAGTCATAAAATGGCAAGCAAATACCCCCCGAAAAAAAACTCTAAACTTCAGGTATAACTTGATTAAACCTATCGAATTTTACCTTGTTAAAACCACTATGGCACTAAAAACCTGTTTGAACACACACCAATTAAGCGCCGCGGTGCCGTTGTATGGCAGTCGCTCTTAGTATCCTGCACGCCTCAGCCACCGGGTAACACCCATCGCATGAATTTTTTTCTCTGAAATTTTTTTTTTCTATGCCATGCAGAGAGATCACGGCAAACGTTATACATAAAACGCCTTTCTTTGTTTACGGATTTTCCCTTTTTCTCTCATCCAACTATTTTAGCACTACACAATGAACAGAGGTAGAGGTGGTTTTTCTTCCCGCGGGGGTCCATCCCGTGGTGGCTTCAGCAGAGGCGGCCGTACCGGTCCATCCAACTTCCAATCCGGCCCACCTGACGCTGTCTTCGAGATGGGTTCCTTCATGCACGCGTGTGAGGGTGACATTGTCTGTCGCTCGATCAATGTCAAGGTTCCATACTTCAACGCCCCAATTTACTTGGAAAACAAGACTCAGGTCGGTAAGGTTGACGAAATTTTGGGTCCATTGAACGAGATCTTCTTCACCGTCAAGCCAAGTGAGGGTGTCCAAGCTGCCTCCTTCAAGGACGGTGACAAATTCTACATTGCTGCCGATAAGTTGTTGCCATTGGACAGATTCTTGCCTAAGCCAAAGGACTACGGTCCAAAGCCACCAAAGAAGAAGGGCGGTGCCAGAGGTGGTGCCCGCGGTGGCTTCGGCGACAGAGGTGGCCGTGGTGGTGCCAGAGGTGGCTTCGGTGCCCGTGGCGGTGCCCGTAGTGGTTTCGGTGACAGAGGTGGCCGTGGTGGTGCCAGAGGTGGCTTCGGTGCCCGTGGTGGTTCCAGAGGTGGCTTCGGTGGTGACAGAGGTGGCTCCCGTGGTGGTTTCGGTGGCAGAGGTGGCTTTGGTGGTGATAGAGGTGGCTTTGGTGGTGATAGAGGTGGCTCCCGTGGTGGTAGAGGTGGTCGTTTCTAAGTGCGTAATTGAGCTCTTAGGGGCTTAATTGCCTCTTTCGGCCATTACACAAGCCTTGCACTAGTCCATTCGCATCCGTTTCATGCATCCCGCCTTGCCCTGTGCTATTAATTCCTTACTGAAGTAGGGGATGGTAGTGAATGGGCTACTCACATTGTATTATCTCCGCGTTCCTCATTTTCTTCATGTCAACGAACTAAATTTCTTTTTTCTTCACAGCGTTTGGGTTCCATTTTTATTCTTTCATCTTCGATTATTTTTTTGTCATTATATCTATCCTATTTACAGTCACTCTAGGTGTTTGTTGTAGCTGAAACGTCTTGTATTTTATCGTAAGAGCCCCTTAATGTTGGCACGAATCGTGTTCATGTGTATGATTTGGCGTGGTATACTGCCCATGAGGATCCATTAGTTCCGTATTGGTTAGTGGTAGCACTTGAATTTTGTTATGGTTCAAAGGCGCTGAGATATTATTTCGATTAGGGTATATGAGAAGACAGGTGTACCTATTAAACAAAACGGTGGCATGTAAGAGTTGTAGTGCTGGAAGGCTACTTGTAGTCTCCGCAAACCATTTAAGATTGTCTATCTGTTTATAGCCTTTTGTGTTGTACTTGAAAGATCTAAACGCGAATTTTTAGGTTTCTTGGTTTATAGAATACATACTGTGTCGTGTAGATTAGGTATTATCGAATTTGGCTTCCTACGAGAGATCAAGAAACCCTATTTATATACATTGTAGTGCACGCTTTTATGGGTATTTAACACCACTCCTAAATGTCAGACGGATCAAAGCAAAAGGATGTATATTTGAATATCTAATCTCAAACCTAGCTCATGTTATGTCGGGATGATAATAACCATGCTATCATTCATAATTTGTTGAAAGCCCTCAGTCAGTACTAGTGCTTAAGCCGTCTCCGGGGTTAGGAGCACGCCCAGGCTGTGGGCTCGCAACGGGCAATTTGTACCATAGGATCGTAGTGGGCTGCTGACCCAATAGGGCTTGCATTTAAAGGATTTAGAGCCGCTACCACCGACCAAGTTGCCATTGGTGGTACTTTACGAAACCAGACTTTTCCATTGGCTGTTTTCTTCCCTCTCAAAGAGTCTAGAATCCGCCCCTGTTTAGCATTTGTGGACGGATGTGCTGCGTAAATTGATATTAAAGACACTGGCCTTGGCTGCTTGATATGGCTTTAAAGCACAACAGATGAGACCGTGTAGCTGGCACACTTTCTTTCCAGACCGTCGTTTTACCTTGGAAATGAGTATGTATAATTTGACAGTGCGTTTATATAATGTGCCACCTTACAAATATTTATCCTGCGATCACCGACAAAGGCCTTATCCTGCCGTGTTTTGGGAGTTAAGAAATCTGCAATGCAATTGCCGTACAGACGTCCGCGCAGATGTCTCTGTTGGTGAGAATAGAACCCTCACCGAATACCTAGAGGCTTGTACTTATGAGCTTATAGTGCCTCGTTCCGTATGCCATGACTCTCATCCAAGTAGTACGCGTGTATTTTTATAGCGGAATATGAAGGAAACTATACAAGCTTACGGGGCTTTCCTTTTTGTTTTAAGCTTTCACGCAGCCAAAATGCCGTACACGGAGTTAAAAAAAATTGCACCAACCCGATACAAGCCTGGGGTTAACCTTAAATTATGAAGAATCAGAGAATGTAAATCATTTATATCAAGTTGGAGGCAGATTATCTTGGGCGATCACCTAATAGGTAGTCACACAGCTCGTCGGTGAGCAGTCATAGGAACAAACCGGTGTGCATTCTGCATATAAGGAGAAAAGCAGCCGCTTCTTTGAAATTCTCCTGTCTTTTTTAGCCAATGTGTGACCTCCTTACTTGCTTTACCTCACTTCTATATTTACTCTTTGTTGTTGCTTCGCACGATTGCACCCTTCTGGACCTCCAAGGACAGGCTATATCTGCTGCAAATACATTTCGATAAACAAAGCACCTTTGCTCGAAACATACACGGGCACGCCGAAACCAACTACGTCCACACTTCCGCTTCTCTCTACTTCGCTTGCGATACACCTAAGCTCGAATATTTCATCTCCCAAATATTGAAAAAAAAACATCAACCATGGGTATCTGTGCATCCAAAGACGATAAGACGAGCGCTACTCCTGGCCAAACTGGAAGAACCGGCACCACGGTTCCCCGCGAGAAAAAACCAGTGACCACTGCCGGCGATTCCCCACTTTCCGGCCTGAAAAAGGCGTCAGTTGGCTCTCTGCAGCCACATACCGTAAGCAGTACCGCTGGTAGCGGCATTTCTCCTTCTGCGAACGGGACGACTGATGCCAAGGACCCGCACGCCATTTCTGGATCCCCTAATGACACCCACAACGACAATACCCAATCCCCACATGACAATTCCCTCGCTAACGGCACTGCTGGCTCAACTGCTCCGAAGAAAGAGATCAAGATCTTGTTGTTGGGTTCCGGGGAATCGGGAAAGTCCACTATCATCAAGCAGATGAAGATTTTGCACCAGAACGGGTTCAGCGACGAAGAAAAGGCCGACTATAAAACCTTTGTGTTTAGAAACATCGTGGAGTGCGTGCGAAACCTTATCAGTGGTGTGCGCGACATCAAACCGGAATTGATTGCCCCTGGTGGCAAGATTGAAGAGGTTGGTGAAGAAAAGGCTAGCGATCCTGCAATTCCGAGCTCCTTGACGAACGTCATTTACAACGACGATATCGAACAAATCTTGGCCTACGAGCCTCCGGTGGATCCATCGCTGCCGTTTGACTCTAAGGTTGCAGACAAGATCCTTGCCTTCTTCAAAAACAGCAACATTCAGACGTTCATCACACAATACAGATCGGCATTCTACTTACCAGACTCTACAAACTACTTCCTTGACTCCTTGCCCCGCATTTCCGCCCCTGACTACGTTCCGGACGTGACCGATATTTTGCGTACCCGTAAGAAGACCTCTGGTATCTACGACACCAAGTTTCAGATGGGCGGTGGCTTGGATATCCACATGTACGACGTCGGTGGACAGAGGTCCGAGCGCAAAAAGTGGATCCATTGCTTCGATGATGTCACCTTGATCATTTTCTGTGTGGCTTTGTCCGAGTACGACCAGGTCTTGTTGGAGGAAAACTCCCAGAACCGCTTGGAAGAGTCATTGATCTTGTTTGACTCGGTTATTAACTCCCGTTGGTTCTTGAGAACATCTGTGGTGCTATTCTTGAACAAGATCGACGTGTTTGCCGAGAAGTTGCCCCACTCGCCCATGGAGAATTTCTTCCCTGATTACTCTGGCGGTAACGATATCAACAAAGCTGCGAAGTACATTTTGTGGAGGTTCAACCAGGCAAACAGATCCGGCTTGAACATCTATCCGCACGTCACCCAGGCCACCGATACCAGTAACATCGAATTGGTGTTCGCTGCGGTGAGGGAAACGATTTTACAAAACTCCTTAAAGGACAGTGGAATTTTATAATGAAGAGCATACGGAAGTGAGTTTCATTAACATGTGATTCGTCGGGTGCTTGTTTATTGTTTCGCCGGCTAGTGGCTGACGAGACCCGTGCGAATTGAGCGTGAATATTTAATATATGTTAAAAAGTTTGAGAAGGTTACGAAATAGGTTTCTTGGCCAAAGAGATTCCTTGGTCAAATAGATAGGTCTCACCGATTAAAATTCGGTTTTCTTTATATATCAAACTATAGGTAGAATGCTATTGTTGGTTGAATGAAATCTCAAACAGTTGAAGATCGATCCCAAACTTTGGAGAAGCGATTATACTGATATCCATAGGCCGGCTTTCTCGGCCTAAGCTTTGCCTAAGTTTTATCTAAGCTTGTCTGCCTAAACTTTTCCTGAATTACCCCATTTTAAGAATGTAGTAACTTATGTAAACACTGCCCATGGTCCACGGCTAAAGCTCGGAATCGGCATTTGTCTGAAACCAACGGGTAACGATTCACCTGAGTCTTATTCGGAACCTCGATCCCACCCTGGATAATCGCGCATGCATGGTAAACGGGTGTCAAGAGGATCACCGAGGGGTATTTTAGTCCCAGAAACTGCTTAGCTTTAAATCCCTCCCTTACAAAGACGATTTACAATTCGAATGGGTTACGGTGATGTAACTAGGGTCATAGCCGTGCTTTCTTTTTTTTTTCCAACGCTCAAATAGCATCGTCACACTGATGATCAAATACCAATGAATACACCCTTAAGTTCGATCAGGCCATCATTGCCTGTCTTATATACTGCACTGACATTTTTTATCAAAAACTATGAGCTTTATGGGACTGGATGAAATATTAATAACGGGGAACACAACCTAAGCCAGAACAACAACAAGAAAAAAAGAAATACTTGAGCTATAAAAATGTTCTGTTTTAAGTTTGCAAAGACAGTGCTCCAATGCAGATAAGTCAGCCTTGGATTTCCTGAATCGGATTCCTATGCCCGACAGTATGTGGCGCATAGTGTCACTCTAGGAGGGCACGTTTCTTTTTGTCTACGGGAAAATCGCTCGATTACGTAATCGGTGCATACAAACCGGTCTAGAAGTCTCGAGAAGTGCGCAGGTTTCCGAACGTGCCACCCTTATCGTGCATGACTACATGTGCCAGACGCCACCTGTTTGCATGCACAAACTTTAATTAGTAGGTGAATTTACACCCCCCCGTGTTATTCCCTCTTTGTGCGTTTTGCGTGTACAGCCTTATGCTATTGCGCCACCCCCCTAAATCCCCTTTGTCAGCACCAGCCGTTCTCCGTAAGACTCCGACGGTATAAATAGTCCCAAGTGCCGCTCTATTTGCAAGTATCGACGCTTTTACTTTCTGTTCATTACACATTCTATTTTCCCTTTTAATAGTAACATACAATATGCAAATCTTTGTGAAGACCTTAACCGGTAAGACAATCACGTTGGAGGTTGAATCTTCGGACACTATCGACAATGTCAAGGCCAAGATCCAAGACAAGGAAGGTATTCCACCAGACCA